GGGGTCCCCTGCCACAGAGCACAACGGGGGTCCCAGCCTGGGCTCCGGCGGGGCTCTCTGTGCCTGCGTACCCTCACGCATCAGCCCTTCTGCCCTGTTCGCTGCCCGGCTGCCCCCACGCAGCCCCCATCCAAAGGGGGGGTGCATCACCCTGGACCGGGGCAGGAAACGGCCTCGCAAATGAAAAATCATAGAATCACAGAGTGGTTTGGGTTGGAAGGGACCTTGAAGATCACCTGGTTCCGGCCCCCCTGCCATGGGCAGAGACATCTCCCACCAGCCCAGGGTGCTCAGAGCTCCATCCAACCTGGCCTTGAGCCCTGCCAGGGAGGGAAAATCCACAATCGCTAAAAAAAAAAGCACAATTGCAAACATTTCTGCTCTGAGGAGTAAAAAGCAACGCAGAAGAAATGCTCTTCGCCGTGCGCGGCGAGTGCTCCCTCCCCGGGGACGCCTTCGCAAACCACGGCGAGCCCTCGCCCCGCCGAGCCCTGCGGATACGCTGACATTCCTGAGGGGAGCTGGGACTCCAACGAAGTGCGGCAAACCATAAACTTCAGAAAGAATTGGGCGATGGAGGCCAAAAATCGAAAGCGCTCTCCTGGGAAGCGCTGCTTTTGTCGCTGCAGACAACGCTGCGCCGTGTTTATCAGCGCCTGACTGATCTGCAGAGCTGAGCGCCCACTCCAAATGGGAAAAAACCCAAACTACAGAGGGTGCTTTGTGCTTTCTCAACAAACGGGAAAGCTCTGTGATAACAGGCTTTTCTTTTCATTTTCTGCAGTAAAATGAATTTGCCTACTTGCAATATTACTCCTTGGCTGCAAACAACCTGCATGTCGATTCAGTCCAAGTGAAAAATGAAAAGTAGCCGTTCAGACATTCTGCACGTGGAGTAGAACTGATGTAAGAGACTTTCTCAACATCAGCAATTGCTAGACTTGATTTTCTGATCTTCCACCAGACAATTAGACCTCACTCATTACTCTCTTGAATCTAGGCCACAAGAAGGAGAAGGAAGAAGAAGTAGGTATTAAGCTGCTGTGGCCTGGATTCATTAAGAAACACAAAACCCTTTAGAATATGCGAAGGAATAAAATTAAACAGTACTAAACATTCAAATTATTTGCTCAACAACAATTTTCCACCGCTCTCCCCACAGCACAGTAAGAGAACACCCCCCCTTCATGCAGCTCAGCACCACATTTCACACGGGTGGGCAGCAATGAAATGCTGGTGAAATACAGCGCGGAATAATTCCCGTAAGACCACACCCCAAAACCTGTCACCCTAAACGGCTTCATGAATTTCTTCCGACATCCATATATTAGTACCCATATTCATCTACAGCTTAAAATTATTAAAGTGATATATAACACCTTATTCCTAAATGCGTGCAGGGAAATAGTACCGTTATTTGGAGCTGACGCCAAACGGGCTTCTTTCAAGGACTCGTGACAAGAATTAGTTTATACCCAAACAGACAAATTATTTGAAATAAAAAAACAGTACGACCAACACCGGAAAGCTGTCTGCGCCCACACACACACACACACCCCTGCGGTTCAGGCCTGCCCCAGGGGTCACTGACTGAACAACAGAGAAGCACACACGAACACCAGGACCCGGTTAAACCCGGGCGCAGCGGCGTGAGTGAAGCGTACGGGGAGGGGAGCTACAGCAGCCGAGACCCGGCGATGGTCTGCGTGCGCTCCGCTGCCCGTCCCCGCTTCACTCG